TATGATTTTTCTTTTGCATGCCTTTCGAAACATTAGGGCATAGCCAATATGAATCCATTAAGTTTGTCCTCTCCACTTAAACGTTATAATCAAATACAGCTGTCTTTAAAATTCTCATTTAGAAAAGAGAGAAATACTTGGATTAATGTTTAAATGCAACCAGTAATGTTTTTAAGGCTACCTTACCTTGTTATATTATAGAAATGATATAAGAGCACAGTTTTAACTATATTTTTTTCATATTTTCATTTGAATGACATGTTTATAATACCTATTGTGTATCATTGATGTCTATCTGTTTATGTCAACTTTTTTCAAATCTCATATAGCTGCAAAATCTTGTTTGAAAGTAAAGGGAAGCTTTCAATTTTCTTCTATTTATTTCTGCTAGGAAAAATTGATGAACCTAAATTTTCACAAAAAGAATGTGTGGAAAACAAAACATGGAAAGATTCAATAACAATGAAATTTGAAACAAGCATGTAACTTTAGCTAAACCGTAACTTACGGATCTTTGGAATCTCCTTTAATTCCTTCACTGTAACTTTCCCCATTCTGAACTTCTGTAATAGATCTAATATTAGTACTTTGTAGCAAATAACAGTTATTTCCTGGTTTACTACCAATATTTCGGATTTAGCTGCTAAAATGACAGAAAATTTAGTAGTCAAAACATACCTGGAGGTGACTCTTTACATGAAAAAGAGTCAGTCCATCGAGATCCATAGCAGTTTGTACAGCTTTCGGTGTTGCTCCTAAAAGCATGAAAAACTAGCATGAGCCGGGGATTCATTGATTTACAAATTAGGAAATACTATAATTTTTTAGTAATGACTCAAATCATTATAAAGCATAAAACCATCTCCCCTAATAATGAATGAGAAGAAGATGCCAACAGGAAATGAAGTTCAAAAAAAAAAAAAAAATTTGTTAGATTTCTCTAAAAACAGTGAAGATAACCAACTAGACTTTATATAAATCATAGAGTCAACTGCACGAATGTCATTAAAGAAATTTAAGGTTGCATCATCACTCTAGTAACTTTTCGGAAACTTGTTTTGTCACCCTACAGGGAAACGGTTCTTTCTATCTACCTCAACTTACATCCTTGCATTGCTGTGATCTTGCAAAATTTTCAACCTCAAACATTTAACTCCACAACGGGATAATAATGTTTAGCCTCTCAATATTATTGGAACTTTTATCACTTTGTTCCAGCTGGTTCAAATTCTAGTTCTTATGTGTAAATTCATCTCTGTTCTCCTGTCTTGACAGTAATAATACTACACTTGAGGAGCATATGCATTTTCATATCTTAATTATGTAATCTCCCAAAATCAGTAACTTTGTAAAAGGAAACATGGTTAATCACACAAATTCTAGAGAGCAACATTTAGTAGTTTATAGAAAAAGGAATAGAGGTTACATTAAATAATTTATTGGGACTAAACAAAAATAATTTGTAAGGTAAATGCTTAAACATGAATGTGAAGACACACAAGCCCTATACTGGAATGAAATACAAAGATGCTGGATCAGAAAGGGAAAGAATGAATGAAAATCTTTAATGTAACATTGGTTTTATCTACATATAACCATCAAAATGCCAGATTTTTCATTGATATACCAAATTTGAATCGCAAGGACATGTTAGATGTCATTAAACCAAGTATGGAATGCTATACTAGGCGACAGACGCGTGTCAAAGAGAAGGGAAATATCAACAACATTCCGAATCCTCAAAACTATTAGAACACGACAAACATTATAAAGAAAACGTTGACAATCTGATTCCAATTAAAACCACAAGAACACTACAAATATCTTCAAAATAGTTTATTATAATAAGGATGACAACTTGCCACAAGCATCAGGCAGAGTTAACGGTATTCCTGGACACATTATAACAGAAACCGAAAACTGAATGCTTTTTCTAATACGAAAAAAATGTTTTCATCATCAACAATCAAGAGATTTAGTATTGTTACAAACCAATCCGAGAAAGATTTCGTTTGCAATCATCAAGAAGCACAAACTTCCCAGCTTACTGTTAAGGCAATCATATTGAAGTATCACACATTGAAAAGCAAGATAAGCTGGAAAAACTGAACTAACATATGTGTCACAAGAAATGAGACAATCATAGTGAAATATATGTGTTCATATGCTTTTGGTAGAAAAAGAATGCCATTATTCTGCTTATGTCAACAAGACTATAAGAATTTCAGCATGCAAAATGAATAACTTTAAACAACTTGGACATTAGGGGAATGTGTTGAGATAAGTAAAAACTAAGGACTTTTAGGTAAGATTATCTACAGAAGAGGTAGTAGTATCAATGATAATTAATTTAGTGTGATTTATAATTTACAATCAACATTAAATCTAAAACAAATTGTCAAATTCAACAAAGAACACCCGCAAACAAATCAAGGAAGATAAGGAAAAAATAATTAAAATTTTGAGGGTAAACCATAAAAGCATATACATAGATGATGATATGCAAAAAGGTGGAAATATATAAAATGATAGGCAAGCAAGATGATTTTCCTTTTGCTAGTTTACTTGGACAAAATGAAGATTTTGATTTTAGAGGCTATGTGTTCTCCATATTTCTCAAGAAGGATAAACAAGTATTTATAGATGAGGAGATATGGGAATTTCCTTTTGAGTTATTTGATTTTATGCACAGTGAGATTTTGATTGTAGAGGTTATGCCTTTTTACCTGATTTTTCTAGGCAGATGATATCATATGCTCATAACTCATAGCCATATGCAACCATTATTGCATAACTTCCAAAACGAACGAAAAAGTTATAACGCAAAAAGCTTTCAACTTTGGCTTAAACAAAATGCATGCAAAGGAGAATTCAAGTTCCTGGTAGAAAAACCCACTTGAGGACCCTCAAAACTAGATGGATGCAGTGGTATAGACATGGATCTGACTAGAACAAGACCTCCATAGTGGTAGAAAAGTGAAGCATGAAGATTAAGATTTAATTGAATAAACAAACACCGAATTAAGCTAAGCCTAAATGCAAAAAGCTGCATTTCACCCACAAAACTTGCTATTCATTATTATGAAAGCCATTAAAAAGAATATGCCTATTTTTAAGAAAGCACTTCTAATTGAAAAGTCATAAAAGTAATCAAACAGTGCAAGCAACAAATTGCAAAGAAAATAATGATGGGAAGAACCAAAATGATGTTGATGATAAAATTATGTGATGCATGCTATGCAAGAGGGGGTTACTGACTAGCAGCTCCACCAAGCTCAACAATGGCATCAGTAAAACGGGCATGAAGCTTTGGAGTCCATCTAAGGCGAGGCTTAATATGAGTCGTATAAAGAAGAATAGAAGTTTTGTCTTTAGGAGGATTCTGCTTCTCCTTCTCAACAACATGAGAAGAACCATGACTTTGAGGTGGAGTTAGAGGTCCTTGGATTTCTTGTGAAGCAAGCATTACATTATCAACAGCACCAGATAGTGTTGACTGATTATCAAAAACATGCAAGTCCTCCAACCCCTCATAAGGACTAGAACCATCATCAACCAGTACACCTTTCCCTTTTCTATCTCCATTGTTATACAGATTCATCTTCTTTGAAATCAATGAAATCATTCTACTCAATTTCTCTCTTTTCACTCACAATTCTCTTCTGCTCTACTCTGGAACAGCACTCACCAAGACTCAGATATAGAGAAAGAAAGGTGATGAATTGCATTCCCCCATGAAAAAACCAGACCCCACATGAAAATTCGTGGGGTCCACTGCCTCTAACTGATGATAAACAATGAGTTAATAGATGGCAGAGCCAGTCAAATCCAGACACAACGACTCCTTTGTATTTATCCATATTCTTACTCAGAGTCTTTACACTGAGTGGAAGATGAGACTAGACAGTAACAAAGAGGAGATGAAACCGATGAATTGCAAAATTAAACTGCCTATAAATCAAAATTACTTCGATGGCATGCAAAATTGCAACGTGGGTTGGTTAAGTACAATGTACGGAGTGCAGATGTGGCATTGTGTAAATGGGCTATATTTGTGAAGAGATGAGTCACCATCATCACTGCCCTTCCCTCAGTTACAAACTGTTGCATGTAGGGAAACGTGGAAGCCTTCTTTTCACTGGCTTTTGTCTCTACTCGGTACAGGTGGTTTTTGATGAGTTCTATTACTGGCAATGTACCGGTACCCCCCTGCTTTAAAATTAAAACCCTTTTGAAATATCATCTGGGGTTGGGTTCAGCCACCGTGCATTATTTTGTTCCAGGCGATACAATCTATTATTCCAGGTTCAAATTTTGTTGTTGGTCAAACTGTGTACAGCTAGTACTAACTATACAAGGTGTGCTTGTAATTAAGTTTGTTTATAGTTTAACATTTATTGACATTCAATACCAGACAATTAATTTCATTTTTTTGCCATTTCAGGTGTTGCGCACAGTTTAATATGCTTGTCATCTTGTGTTAATAGCTTTAATGTGTAATTAGAGCAGGTTTCAGAGTTCATATGCAACATTTATTTTTTAATTATATCAAGTTTAATTCATCATTATTATGTCTAATAACTATTGGCTTCACTGTCCAGAGAGTTAAAACTTATCTATAATAAAAGCTTTTTTTCTAGAAAAGAAAAAAAAAAAAAAAAAAAATATATATATATATATATGTAGGGGTTAATGGTGTAACAATGTTCAAAACCATGGAGGGATCATCAATAGATTTGTTTGTTCATATTTAGCTGAATCAAAAAGCTGAATTAAATTGTTTAATTTCTAAATTATGCTTTAAATTAAAAAAAATAAAAAAAATAGTTCCTTAAAATCATCTCATATTATAATGATTAAAGTCTTAGAATATAATAATAATGTATATTTAATACAATGACCTGAAAAGTGCCCCTTCTCTGCTAAGAAAAATTTAAAACGTTGAAAGTAGCCGTTACATTTCAACACAGCCTGATCACAGCTAATACGCTCCATTCTTCTTTCTCCCTCACTGACCTCGCTTCACTGTTTCTCATTCCTTCATTCGCTCTCACTCTGCAACAATGTTCACTGAAGGTCTAGACGAAACCGCTATCAACTGGGTCAAACAGGTACTCTCTTTGGTTTTCAACTTATTTCAATTTTAATACTTTCCTTCAAATCTTTCTGACTTTCTTCTTCTCAATTCTTTTCCTCGCAGAAATCAGATGTAAATCAAGAACCCAGAGTTCGTTCTCCGTTAGCAGAGAGACACTCACGTGACTCATATGACCCGTCGTTTCCGAAATCTCCCTTACTGTACAATTCCAACACTAGCCTTATGTCTCCCCATGGTTTACCTCCCTTAAAGTTCCACTCTGGCTTATTAAAACCTCACAGTGTTCTGGCTCCTCGTCTTGGCGACAGTGAAGACGATGATGATAATGATTATGTCGATGAGAGTGTAGCCTCAGTTTCTGATAATATGGATTTGAATTACACTGATGAAGAAGAAGAAGAACACTTAAGGTATTGTAATGAAGCTGACGAGGAGGAGATGTTTGGTCATAAATCTTGCAACACAAAGTTGAATAGAGGCTTGTTGAACAATTTAAAGATTGAAGTACCTGAGATTAATCGGAGATTTACTGATGGTGATTCGGGAATTAAAAAATCTTCCCAGAAACTTTTGACTCCAAGTTCTGGCAGCAACATTAGTTCGCTACTTCGCGAACGAGTTCAACTACGCAATGCACAGGTAAGAAACTGATTTAAGACAGATCATTGTAATGTTGTTTTTATTTTCTTAGGATTTTGTTTCTAAGAGTATTATTTATTTTTTTTTATCAAATGTGATTTCTTGGTTATTAAAATTTTGGGTTGTGTTAAAGGAGTTGTTTTTACTCTTTATGGTGAATGATGCTAATTTTGGGGTTTAGAATGTTGGGATTTTGTTTAAGAACAAATTTATAATGTTAATTAAAATGCTAATGATGTTTGTGGAGTAGTACAGGTTATTGTAAGCGGGATGGTGATTTTTGGATCATAAAAATAAGTGGGATTATGTTAAAAGAGTTGTTTTTTTTAAAATTTTTTTTTATTTTTTGTTTTGGTCATATATTTTGTGGTTTTGGGGTTTAAAATGGTTAATTGTGTTGCAAGAACAAATTTATAATTTTAATGAAGATGTTAAATGTTGCTTGTAGCGTACTGCAAGTTGTGGAAACACCCTGCTCAAGGAGGTAGATGATATGGGAACTCCTAGTGCACCTCCTATCATGGAAGTTGGAACAGAAGGTAAGAGCCCTGAGGTTGAGGCACAAATGGAGCAAACTGGTGGGATTCATGGGTCCAGAGAATCGGTGAGTCTTGATGGCAGTAAGGAAGGTATGACAGACTGGAAATCACAGTCTCAAAGAGGCAGTGAGATTGATGAAAGGTACTATAATTGTTAGGTCTGTTTGAAAAATCTTCAGTAAATTAGTATCGTTTTTCCCTATACAAGTTGTTTATTTTCTTGATATTGTATTCTGCAGATTAAACAGTACAATACCTAGGGAAAAGGAAGAAAAATTACCTTACTGGCAAACCAACTCATCGGACAACTCACATTATTATAACACTAGGTAATCTAAGTTTTTTGATTCTCGAATTCTGTTTTACACTGGCCAGGTATAGGTGTTCTGTTTTCAATTATGGAGTTCTATTTCTCTTTTGGTATTTACATGGTTTCCCTGAATTCTTATGGCTCAGCTTTATACGTCTGTAAATATAATATACAGTTTTATAAACCTCAGATTGACTGGTCAAGGTTTAGGGTTTTTTTTTTTTTTTTTTTTTTCACTTTTGTACATTACTTCTAACCAATTTATGAGGCTCAGGTGGGGGTTTACATGTTAGAAATTTACGTGATTGCATTCATCTTGATGATTCTTTTCGATTGTTGCAGAGATCAATTTGCCTGCAAACTCTAATAGCTTATGATGCTTGCATCCGCTTATGCCTCTATGCTTGGCAAGAGGCTGCACAGAGGCCCCTGAGTTTCTGCGTGATGAGTGTGTGGTGCTTCGTAGTGCATTTGGGTACGCTACCATATGATTTTGTTCTTCAAGGATTTTAATTAACCATTAAATACTTTTTTATTCTTTTCAATTTAGTTGTTTTTCAAGTTTGAGTGGGCAAACCTCAATGTTTATATGATTGTGTAGGCTTCACAAATTCTTGTTGCAACCTCGAGGTGTACAACCAATAGAATTGACACTACTAAGGGAGCAGAACGTATACCCTGTGAAGGCAAAGAAAGTCATGGGGAAGATAAAGTTGAAGGTAAGGTCTTTGTATTACAATGATGCTACATTCAGAATCAGCGGATTGAAGTTACTTTTTTTTTGGCAGATACAAAGCTCATGTTAACTTTCAATTTGTTTATAAGCTCTTTTATACTACATGTGGAGTAATTCTGTTTATAAAACGGGTTATAGTGGCAAGAGTAATTAACTGAATAGAATTTAAATCCTATCTATGTATCTATTTGTGGAGACTCAAATAGAGCAAAGAATTGAATTTTATTTATCCCATAATTGAATTTTTTTATTTGAACTAAGGCATGGTTGTTGGAAAATGGCAGTGAGGAAATTGCGAATAATACCGAGGCGGAAACTTAGGAGCACATATTCACTCCGAAATGCTATGTACATGCAAGCAGGAGCAGAGTATGTTCGACATGTTTCAACTCTAGTGAAAACTGGCATCAAAACCCTCAAACTAGCCTCATTTTCAGTACAATCAGAAGGTTTGTTTTTGGGAACAAATAATCTGCAATCTCTTTATTTTCTCATTCATAAGTTCAATAAAATCCACTTGATAACATGATGTGCACATGGATATTCCAATTTAAAAGATTTTGATGCTGGTGCTTTGTCTAATGAAGTTCAAATTACATTCAATAAGAGGTTGTAACAACTTAATGAGTAGGTCTAGGTTGTAACAACTTAATGAGTAGGTCTTTTTGTAAATTTGTCAAAGTATATCTTCAGATTGGTTGAAGGACAAAATGGTGAAAGGAACCATCATGTTTGTGGCACAACTATCTCTGCTATGATATTGCATCTCCTGCTTTAATAATGTCTTATTATTTCTTGATCATTAAAAAATTGCAGAGACTCTTTCATGCTTATTCCAATTGAAGAGTGCTACAGAAGACGCTGAAGCTGAGAAAGGTTCTGCTGTATGCTTGCTTCCTGGAAATGGTGATTGTCATGTCTTGTAAGTTGATATAATACTTTTCAACTTATGCCAGTCTTTTTGTTTGGATAGCTTTGAATCATTTATCACATCATTACTTCTAAGAATGTGGAAGAATGAAAGCTGGTATGAATTGTGGATGTACAACTGGGCAGGACCAAGGTTATAAATCTTAACATTATGATGAATTTAATAACTATTGAATCACAAGGTCATTTATTTATATTGTTATGTGACCTAAGGGATTTGCTTCGTGTGTTTTTAAAGATAAATCATCGTTCAAACTTGATAGTTCACAATCAAACCATAGTTCATTACTTAAAGGGGATCTTACTCCTAAAATGGTTCTTACAAGTGCATGTAATTTCAGTTTTCCAGAGAATGAGGGGGATGCTCTTTTGGTAGAAGTCCAAGATAAGAAGAATTCAATCCAGGGTCGAGCTACCATTCCAGTTTCATCCTTGACTGATAACCCTGTACCTATCTTTCTCTACCTTCAGTATCTTGTCCTTTGCAGGACTAAATTATACTTTCAACCGTCTGCATGTATTTCAATGTGGTTATCCAAATTGTGCAGAATGACAGAATTCGATGGTGGCCCATATACCATGATGATCAGGAATGTGTTGGGAAGATCCAGCTATCCATTGGTAGTACAATCACATCTGGCGAGAGTAATCATATAAAGGTTTCATTCCTGTCAACCCGACTCTGTTGATTAGTATTTTATGTTCAAACACACATGGTCAAATTTTTTATCTACTTCCTTTTTGAGGGCTGTTGGACACTGCATAATTGACCGGAAACTAATCGAGTGATGGCTAGTTGCGTTTTTGGATCTGAAATTTGTATTATAACAGACCTATTAGTAGAATGAATTGTGAACTAAGATATATAGGAGGAATTGTTTAACTGACTGAATGATGGCTAGTAATATCATTAATTCTTTCTTCTATGTGGGATATGAACCATAATGCAAATTATAGTTCCTGATAACTGGTTGGATTAGCGTGGATGGTTGCCTTTCTTTATGAACACTGTCCGGTCTTTCAAAAATTAGCTTTCCAGAGGCAGTATGGACATGCAAACTGGTTTGTATGGATACTTGAGAAGATTCATGAGTGTACAATCAGAGGTCTCATATTTTTGTCTTTACATATTACAGAGTGGATCTGTGGTGGAGACCTTAGCATATGATTTACTATTGGAGGCTGCAATGCGGGCACAACCTTTTCATTCCAGAAACCTGAGGCCACAAGGACCTTGGAAGTGGTTGTTGACTGAATTTGCAGATTACTATGGAGTTTCTGATTCATATACTAAACTCAGGTGTTTATGAATGTCAATTTTTTCAAGTTAGCCTAATGAAGTTCATATTTTGCTCTACTCTTCATGATTTCTTTGAGATATTGTGATCACTTTTTTTATTTCTTTGTAGACATCTTTTACATGTAATGAATGTGGCAACTCCAACAAAAGACTGCTTAGAACTTGTGAACGAGTTACTTGTACCTATTCTAAAGGCAAGGAGTGAGAAAAGTTTGACTAGGCAGGAGGTAGGCCTTCCCAAATCACTCACATTGAATCAATTTCGTTTCTAATCTCATGACAGAACTTCTTTGCTTCTAGCTAACTTTAGAACATTAGTATCTGTGAATAGTAAATATTAAATGAATTCTTCGTAGTACCTTTTCAATAGTACCAATTGAAGAAGAAGCACCTATGGAGAATTGGTATTTCAAAGGGATTTTAAGTGTTAACATGGTTGGCAAATATAACTTTTTTAACTTGCTCTCTTGCAGAAAAGCATGCTGTTAGATTGTGAAACTCAAATTGAGAGTCTCTTGCAAAATGTTTTTGAGAACTACAAGTCCTTGGATGAAAACTCTCCTACAGGGCTGGCAGACTTGCTTGGTCCAACACAAGAATCTGTGGCACCAGCCCTAGCTTCTGCTGTCCAAGTGTACTGCCTCCTCCATGATGTACTATCTCAAGATGCCCAGACTATGCTGAGAAACTACCTACAGGTAAGTTAAATTTTATTACTGGAAACTACTTATTTTAATACATTTAAACACTTTCCAATCTTTATGCATGTATAAGATACACTAGAGGGTCAGTATCCTCAAATAACCTTAGCTTGCTGGGTCATTAGGCCTCTGGATCTGCTGTCTCAGAGTTTAGAGAAATATCAGTTAAATTTTAACTCTGTCCATGATGTCTCTAGATGATTTAGTGGTGGAATAACGAGTTTATAGGAAATGGAGGATGGGCCTTGCAGTTTGTTCATATTTTTTCTATCTATAAATAATAAGAAGCTTGTTTGTCTCTCTGTTTTTTCTTTGTTTTGATACATTAAGCATAATCAAAAAAAACAGAACTAAAAAAAAAAAATTGTACAGACAGCAGCGAAGAAAAGATGCCGGAAGCACTTGCTTGAGACTGATGAGTTTGTTTCAAGCAACTCTGACAGTTTCCTCATGGACTCCATTACCATCTCAACAGCTTATTTAAAGATGAAGAACTTGTGTATAAACATTGGCAAAGAAATTCAATCAGACATCAAGATACACAACCACCACATACTTCCGAGGTACAGCAACTTTTATTTATAAATTGGAATTTGCAGGCGTAAATAAATGTTACCACTAATAAGATCTCATGTTGTATTTCACAAACTCCATTCTCAATCATATTTATATATTCTGACTCATATTTTTTTTTTCAGTTCAATTGACCTGTCAAACATTGCAGCTGCTGTTTACAGCACTGAGTTGTGTAACAGGCTTAGAGGTTTCCTTGCTGCCTGGCCTGCATCCAGCCCACTGCCACATGTTAATGAACTTCTAGTTGCTGTTGCTGATTTTGAACGGCATCTTGAGTCATGGAATATCAGGTTATTTAAGAAATTTACTTGAAAAGTCCCTTATTATTTACTCTGATAAAAAAATCTGTAATGAAGGTTTAACTGTTATCAACAGACAGTTAATCTTGACATCCAATCAAGTCCAGCCTTCTATAACTTTTTCTGTCTGACATACTATGTTCTTTTTTCTTCAGTCCTGTGCAGGGTGGGGTTGATGCAAGGGGTCTTTTCCATGATTACATAATGCTTTGGGTGGAGGATATGCAACTTAAGTTACTTGACCTCTGCAAAATGGAAAAGGTACTCCTAATTCCCATGGATTTATATATATATATATATATATATTTTTTTTTTTTTTTTTGCATAAATTAAACAGATTTGATTTACAAATATGAGCTTGAGCATTTTATTATCGATACCCTTTTCTCTCTACCCCACCTCCAAAAATCTCAAGCGTGCCCAAAGGTGTGTAGGCCATGGAGAAAGTGGACAAATAACATGTTCACACCAACAATAAACTTCACTCTATAACCTACTTCCAAATATGAGCTTGAGTTACTTTTTGCAGGTCCCATGGTCTGGAGTTACAACAAATCAGTCCACTTCACCATTTGCTGAGGAAATGTACGAGAAAATTAAAAACTCTCTTATTGAATATGAAGTAGTGATCAATCACTGGCCTCAGTATTCACTGATACTGGAAAATGTAAATTTCTCTCTCTGCACACACCTGTGTGTGATTGTCTGACAGTTTTTGTAAACATAAATGAAGTTTTTTACAACTCAGATAGATCTGCTGTATTTATGTTTGCTAACAATTCATAATTGATTATCTTCTTGAAGGCTGTTGCCAATGTAGAAAGGGCAATCATAAGAGCACTAGAGAAACAATACAATGAAATTTTGACTCCTTTGAAAGATAGCATTCCAAAAAGGCTAAATCTTCATGTTCAAAAGCTTACAAGAAGACAGTCAACTACACTTTATTCTGTTCCTAGTCAGGTGAGAGACCGCATTCATATGTTTTATAGCATGGATTTCGAACCTAGATTTCTTTTTTTCATACTGCAAATGGTTTGAACATCAGATATGCATGTATCTTAAATATTTTTCTTTTGTCAGTTGGGAACATTCTTGAACACCATTAAAAGAATACTGGACATCTTACATTGTAAAGTGAAGGACATCTTAAAATCTTGGGCGTCCTACCTGCCTGTTGTTGGAGATAAGAAGTCACTCTTTGGCGAGCAGATGAATGAAGTGACAGTGCTGCTGAGAACAAAATATAAAACGTACTTGCAGGCAACAGTGGAGAAGCTAGTCAGTAACGTAAGCTCTACTATACCCTATTTCCACTTGTAGTCATCCTTTCAACAAATGTCACGTGGCGTATGTCACAGTCCTCAGTTGATTCATTATGCTGCTGCTTAAGAATCAATCAAGTAGCTTGAGAATAGATCAAGATTTAATGCCAAGTGGTTAAAAAAAGAAACACAAAGTAAAAATAAAGAACTAGCTATAAGGATAAGTTTTGCAAGATTGACTCAAAACTTGCCCAATGGATACTTTTAATCAGTGCCGGGACCTAGAAATGACTTTTGTGAGGTGCACCTTAGGAATAGTAGTATTTAGAAAATATTATTAGCTCATTAACAATGCCATGAGAAAAATACACTTAGAATTTTATAATGAAATACAATAACTTAAAGTTCTTGTAAAGAGATGATAAACTATTATCGAATTCTTCAAAAAGTTCTTGTTGATCTTTAGATTTCAAACAAGTGATAAAGTTCACCCATACAAAATACTTATAAAATAATGATCATTTCAGATGCAAACTAATCGGAACACACGGCTTAAAAGGATTCTGGAGGAAATAAACGAAGAAGATGGAGAAGCCGAGGTCCGTGAAAAAATGCAGATGTTGTGTTCACAACTCATTGACTCTATATCCAACTTGCATGGAGTCTTCATAAGTCGGATATTCATTGCAACCTGTCGTGGATTCTGGGACAGGATGGGACAGGTGAAGAAGACTACCCGGTCAAGCATGAAAAAATTGCAAGTTTACTTAATTCTTTGTTCTAATCCAATTCAATTTACTATCATGCCAGATTGTTCTGAAGTTTCTTGAAGGTAGAAAGGAAAATCAAGTGTCCTATAATGGATCTTATTATGCTCTTGGTGTAAGTAGCTTCTCTCTTATTAGTGTTTGTGTTTTTTCTTGCAACAAAACTTCAGCTGAAGTGCTTCTTGCTTTTGTTTTGTTAGATTTTGGACGACACATTTGCTTCCCACATGCAGCGATTGCAAGGAAATTCACTGCAAGAGAAAGATCTAGAGCCTCCACGCTCTGTAGTTGAAGCTCGATCTATTCTCTGCAGAGATGCCGCAAATACAACAGATACATCTTCATACTACTATGTCTAGACTGAAAATCTTCCATCGTCGATTTGATGTTGCCTTACGATTTCTGCATAGGTGTACAGTGATCAAAATCTTCACTGCATATGATTATTTATATTCTTTTTGTACATGTTGAACCATAATGCTTGAGAAACTCATTCTTTTGTAACAATTTTTTGATCGATAGCAATAAAGGCCCGGGGAAATTTCCGTTTCTTCCTGTAGCAGAAATTAACTAATTGTTCAATGGTCTGTTGACATCCACAAATTAAAGCCACCAAGCAATGACACACTAACAAAAAAATAATTTTGTTCTGGCTTTCTTTAAAAAACAAAATACGTACCCATTCAAATAAATTGAATGATTGATCCAGACCAAGCTTAAGAAGGAGAAACTACGAAATATGAGATAATTCACAGCCTGAGTTCAAGGAAACTTTATGTTCTCGTAACTTAATAATAAAAGAATGGATGGTTTACCTAAACTGGTCAACTGAGCCAAAAAAATAAAGTAGACAATAATTAGAATGATCATTAAACAAAAGAAAGCAAAACACAGACAGTCAATATATTATCTGTGATTGTATTTTGAGGACTCTAACTAATTCATAGACAATGAACCCTAAACTACGATCTAGCTACCCATTATCACACAAGGTAATGGATGAGACCAACAAGATGAAAACAACAAAGGTGCAGTTCAAGTCCCTTTCCCTCGTTGAATTTGTTGAAGAAGAGCAGCTGCCAGATGCAGTGTTGCTTGCAAGCGTTTCTGTGGATCTGCATCTGCTTCCTGGCTACCAGCATTTTGCACTTGTTGATTCCCTTGTCCTCCTGACTGAAACTCTCTTTGAATTGTTGGAGGCACTGCAGCAGGCACATTGGACAGTTGCTGCTGCAACTGTTGCACTTGACCAAATTGAGATATCGAAAACTCAGTCAGCTGATTATTTTGCAAAGCATAGCTCTGTGGTTGACCAACTTGGTTGTCAAATTGATGCCCTGCAGTCATCTGCCGAAGATTCTCGCCCGTTGATGCATTAGGAGTGTTCCCTAACTGCCTCTGTGGCCCAAGAAGAGTTGATGCTAATTGTGCAAGTTGGTCCGGTTGCAGGGATGTAATTGGCATAGGCAAAGTGGAAGGTTTAAATTCCTGATGCAACACCTTGCTGTTTTCTGATAATGGGATTCCGGTAATTCCACCAGGATATTGACTAGAGCTTATTTCCTGCACAGCCTTTGGCATGACTGAGGGGTGCCCCTGAATGATGGGATCAATAGAACTATTGGATGCAAGTGATGGTATATTTCTGGAACCAGAGACTGGGTTCTGCTGATGGTGAGGAGATTGATCTGGTGCCCATGTGGGGTTCCGCTGATGATGTGGATATTCATGCCTGTTTTCACTGTATGACTCAGATATACTACCCACAGCATGGACTGAACTTGAATGTGATGAGGGCAGAGCTGATGTAAGCATGTCCCCTGAAAAAGAAAGACCCGATTTACCCATATCTGGATAAGAGGTCAGAGAAGGAAAGCATCCAGAAGGTGTTGATGGCTTCAGATAAGATGCATCTGAATTAAAGGATAACATATTTGTATCCTTGATCTCATTTGGGTAATGTAAAGAACCATGATTAGAAGCAGAAGGCTCCAACCTCAAAACAACCCCAGAAATGCTCAGTTTGCCTGGTACTTTCAGTACTTTCTCTGAAAAGTCAGATGGGGGTACAAGAAACAAGGTGGTCTTGTCATCCAGTTTAGCAACTGCTGCTCGCTGCTTCTCCTCCAAATAATGCATGAATTCATTGTAAAATGCAATGTCAGCATCACTTCCAGGGACAAAAAAGACAACCCAGCTACTAGATGCTTGATAATAATGCTTTGCAAGCATGTCTAGACCAGTCCTTGCAGTGCAATCTAAGAACTCAGGCCTGCAGCAAGTTGTTAGGTCAGGAAGTGATTTCAGAAGTAAAACTCCAGAGATCAAATCTTAACTAAATAAGTGGTATTATTTTTGTTAACTTAAACATGCGTTTTGATGCCCCCATACAATTATATCTAATATACTGCAGTAAACATATTTTTATAGCCAAGTATTTGACAAAGTATCTAAGACATACCAAAATAACATTGGATTTGTACACTAAAAATGTTTGCATACATCCTGAAAACCTTAATTTTGGACTCTATCCAGAAATGAAGTTGGAACAGAATTTTGCATCAGATACGATTCAGTTACATTAGGCAAATTAGGTCTAAGCCAGTAAAAGTTTGCTTAAATGAGTTCATTAGTGGATAAGTGATGGAAATAATTCAAAATTCAATGGATATCAGTCCAATAACAACTAACTAGCCTAGGGATTCATAGCTAGAATAGAATCCTGCCACAGTTATTTTGCTGCAATCCAACTCATGTAATTGAACTCTCAAATGAATTATTTCAAGAAATCTTTAATGACTCTCTGTTTATCTATCTGTGGTGGAGTTTAGTGAACTCTGATCAGTTGGATATCAGAAAGTGCTTTACGAAAAGTCAGGCTTGTGGATGAAGAAGTGAGAAAGAGGGAAGTAATAAAAAAGATGATATCCTAAATTCTGTAATGAATGTTTTATGTGAAGGAATGCTTATTACTTACAACATCATGTCCATGACTTTTCCAACAGGAAAGCAGCGAGCATGACAAACAGGACTTCCTCCCTTTGCTATAGTTCCCTCCCACTTCCAGTCCTTTATAGATGGCTTTGGCTGATCTAATTCAGGAGTGTACCTTTTCCTCTCAACAGAATTTAGTGGCAAAGAACCAGGACCCACCTGATAACCATCATAAGGTGCTTTCCACAGATCATTTTTTTCTCTGTGAGGTAAAGCTAAATTCACTTGGCGATCAGGGATCTGCTTATACCCATATGGTCCAGCATCGAAGTTCTTTTCGAAGGTCTCAGGTTGAGCAAAATCAGAGAATGTCCTTGAAAATGCCCGTTTCCCATGTTCTAGATCAGAGAAAGGATATTCTGGCAACTCTTTGTCAGGATGGAGGGAGCCAGTCTTTAATTTCTTGGCTCCTGGATGATAATACGCATCTTCTGGCGAATCCCACTGATCTTCAAAAAGTGGAGATTTTTCAGGAAATTTCTGAGGAAACTCATGGAAGTGAGCAGTCCTTTCTCTGGTAGGACTAATATTCTGTTCATAAATATCTTGAGATAGTCCTGGTTCAGATCCCACATCTCCTAACCTCCATGGTTCATATATGTTGTTTCCACCAATCCATAAAGTATCCTTCCTATTAAAATTATAGACATCAGGATCACCAGAATCTAAATTTGGGTTAAGGTGGGGAGATCTAATGCTGGGATCTCCTGAAAAGCTCCCAAAATTCCTATCTGGCCGAAAGTTCTCAGCAGGGCTAGAATGGCCATTCAACTTGAAATGTGGGGAAAGAGGGACATTCATTAAGCCCCTTCCACTATTTGAGGAGCCAGCTTCACTTTTTGCAAAACAAATGTGCACACGGGGATTTCCAAACAATTTGCCTTGAAGAGTTTCTTTCGCCCTGCAAGCTGACATTAGGCTCTTGAACTGAACAAAGGCATAACTACGACCTGGAAAAACAGTGATTTTCTCTATTTCACCAAATGGTGAAAATGCCTTCCTTAAGATCACTTCATCCACCTTCAGTAAGGCTGGGAATCCTATCCATAAAACCTCACTAGGTTCAGCACTTTTATCACTCATCTTGGATTTGTCAGGGTAAGTAGAGTCAGGAGGACTAGCATGGCGTGCTCTAGAGTCCCTTTGTGAGAAAGGGGATCCTCTTAATGCAGAGCGTTGCTCATCTCGGTGTTGCAAGTGGTCTGCATCACGTGACAGTACTGATGACTTATCCTGTGATTAAGAATTCCTTACTGTATAAGCAAGTGGATATGATATTGATTTAATAGTCAATTGCAATTAAAGTGAAATTAATGAATCAAATCATATTATCTAGGTTTCGTTGTAGTTGGAGTGATGATTTTGATCTATGAAAGGATGGTACTTTAAAGTACTTGCATGACGAATACATACAAAAAATTAGACATGCAATTTGTATATGTGAATAGCCATTTCTACTTGCACAGCAATCTAAAGCACAATGGATGTTTATGAGGCAACACCATTTCTGTTTCCTTAAAAAGAAAAGCTTTGTGCTACTTAATAAAAAGTACTCTGAATCAACCTATAAAAGTTATACAAACATAGATTAAAACAAAAATAATAATAATCAAGCCAAATAAAAACCTAGAGCTCAAAAACCAATGCAACTCAGTTGACATCACCTAAATTTCCACCCTAATCACTACATCCCTCAACTGTACAGAAAAACACCACCTTTAGACATCAGCAACTATTTAAGCTAACCATTAAACCAACTGGTTCCAGATTATCATCACTCGACCTAAATTTGCAAACATGGTGCTTGGCAGATTGAACTATCTGCTGATTTAGTTGCCGACATTTAAACTTGATTGGCAAACAAGATGTCTTTTTAACTGGGTCTACAAATATATAACAGTTCATCAGCAAATTAATTAGCCACAAATTTTCAATACTACCCCAATCCATAAAATATAATTACTTTCGATGTGACTTCTACCCTTATCTTCTCAAAGCCTACAACTGGCAAATTACTGGTTCACTGAAAATGACCTATCCTTAACACCAACATTGAAAATAGCCGCTGTCAAACTAAATGAAAACAAGAGATGTTCAACTTTCTACACATGGACATTAATCAGAATGCAGCCAATTTAATTCTTCAATGAGTACCCAATAGGCATAATAGAAACCTCCAATCAGCATCCTGCACCCAGAGGGACAAAGACTTTTGACTATAAAGTTGTCACAAGTTTAATCCCTAGGGATATAAAGACTACCTGCTACTTATGACAAGTTACATCAAATGCTAGAACAGCAATTGCATTCAGTAAAAGAATGTGAGTCACATTAAACACACCTGGCAGATTAATAGAGATCTAGAATCCAACAAAGACATTTTAACTATTCCAACCATTTTCACCATCATATGGAGTAATGATTATGTAGTAAAATCAATAGAACAGACTAGGATTAACGAATGAAGAAAGAAGAATACAATTGTCAAGCATTTAAATAGGTATTCTCCTGTGCAAAAAAGGTTTCATTCTAGAGTGACCATTTCGAAT